CACGTGAAGCAGAGAGGTACTCGGTTTAGAAAAGGAATGACATTTTGGAGTTTAACAAAAGCACTGCTGTGGTTCTTGGTCTCAAAGAAACCATCTGCTTTGCCCCACCCCCACCCCACCCCCCACACCGGGTCGCAGGACTGTCTACAGGGAAAGGCAGGTGTGGCGGTGAGGCTATCACTGTACCGTGGGTTCTCACCCGGAATCCAAGTGACACGCAGGTGGCCACAGGTGGTAAAAAAGCTCACCGGGCAGTCTCCTGGATCGCGAAGAAATCGGAAGGGAGATCCTTCGTGTCAAAATAGACACGGCCCATTGCGGCGCCTTTGCGGGACCATCCAGTGACCTTGCACTTCCTCATAGGGAGGGTGACATGATTAAACGAAGAGGACGCCAGGATGCCTCGAGGGTCTGCTCAACCAGGACGAAAAGAAAAACAAAACAAAAACCCACTGAACCCGCTGGTGTTCCCCCAACCATCAAGCAAAGCAAAGTGGGGAGGAGGAGTTCCCAAATGTCCAACTATGTCAAGGACATGAGCCACGTGTGCAGCACCCCCGTGAGGAAGCCTCCCCAGCTGGGGGTCGATGAGGGTTTGGAGCAGAAAACGGGACTCCAGAAGTCACCAATGCCACTTTCTCTTGTTTTGCTTTATCTGCTTGTGTCCTCGAGACAGGGCCTCACTATGTAGGTAGCCCGGGCTGGCCTCCAACTCACAGCACTCCTCCTGCCTCAGCCTTCTGAGCGCTGGGATGACAGGTGTGCTCACCGTATCTGGCAACCACCACTTCTGGCTAGGGCCACATGACGGAGTCCGATGAGAGCCCTGGGTGAGAAGACCTGCGGATGTGTCCCAGGCCCACCTCTGGCTACCGAGAAGAAGTCACGCAGAACCTCTACAGTTTTATCGTGCACGTGGAAGACAGGAGGCCCCTGCCCAGCCCCCCAACCCCCACCAGGGGAACAACAGGCTCCCCGGCTTCCGGGCTTCCGGGCTCTCAGCCCAGGCCGGGGCATTTCTTGGAGCCGCCTTGGACTCTGTCAGAAGAGAGGGGAAAGCCATCCAGCAGGCATGAAGCCCTCACGCCACGGGCCGGTGTTCCCTCGGTGCCCACGCTGGGGCTGAGAAAGTTGGGCCAGGGGAGGTGTCGTCCCACTGACTGTGCCCATGGGTGGCTGTCACCAGGGACTCCTTCCTTCCTGTTCACAGCAAGAAGCACGCGGGCACTCTCCACTCTGGCCCTCCAGCCCAAATTCCTTATGGCGCCGTTCAGGAGCTCGGAAAGATCTGCCTTGGGGGTGGGGGGGCGTGGGGGTGAAAGAAACGCCAGCGTCCCCCACAGGACCCTCCTCGGCCACGCAGGCGCCGGCGGGAGGTACACAGGACACGGTGCCTGCGCTTTTCTCTGTGGAACAGAGATGCGGGGGTGGGGCCGGCGAGCCCTGAGGAAACTGTCCAGAGCTCCTGCAGAAGACCGGAGACTCCCTTTCACCTTTCCCCTCGGCCCTGCTCCCGGGAATTACCCTGCCCCGGGCAGTCCCTTGCCCTTTACACGGACTGTCTTGGCGATGCAGCACCTTGGTCTCAGTTGACACTGGGGGCAAAAGGGTCAAAGACCGCTTGCGACATCCCAAGCCTGTTCAGTCAGTGTCACCTGTGCCCCGCTCCGGGCCACCCTCACTCTGAGCGGTGGGAGCTGCTCACAGCAGCCCTTCCCTGAGGCTTGACTCCAGACTGCTGTTTTCCGGGGAACAAGGGATTTTCCTTCACTTCACTTCCACCACTCTCAAAGTCCCAACCAGTCAAGGGGGACCATTTCAGTAAGGAAAGGGAACCATTTTAGAATTCGCTCTCACGGCTGCATGGAGGACACATGGCAGTTGCTCTGAGATGATGAGCGCTAAAGATCTCAATCGGTCCCAAGTGCACCATACAACTCCTTTCAAAGACACAGGAAGGAAGCCAGGAACTCTTTCAGGAAACGCGAAAGAATGAGATTCCAGTCTGGTGAGCAGTGCCTGAAGGCTGGGAATGTTATGTACATTCTAGACATCAGGGAAAGGGCCTTGACTTAACGAGGCTGTTGACGTTTTCTACAAATTCTATGAAAGTGGGAGGATTTGTTGACCACAAGTCAGATTCCAAAACTCTCAGGAAAAGGGCCTATGTGACATTCCACTCGCACATCACGTACCATACACTCTGGCGCCCGGGCAGGCGGTATCTGTGGAGCACATGTGTGAGCAGCTTACAGAGGATATTTCAAACAGAGAAACACGTACAGAGGGGCTGCCCTCAGAGCCCTATATGAATCTTCTTTGAGGAGGACGTCGCCTGTTTGCCTTTTGATTTCTCTCATGCCAACTGCATGGGATGTTTCAGTGTGGGGGACTCAAGAGTTGAGAGTGAGTCCCTGAAACTTGGAACCCATGACTTCTCTTGCCAGGCATTCATGTGCGACGGGCCTCTCGGGTCTCAGGAGACCTGTGGGCAGTCGAGCTCCACGGCAGAGGTGTGTGTCTTGCACACGGCACACTGCCACTTTCCTGTCTCGCCTCCGGCCCAAATTGGTTAATCGTTTTCCCGGCCCCTCTCCGGAGAAAGAGGTTATGTTTGGGGAAGGGATTCCTCGGTAAGGGAATGAGCGGCCGTTGCCTCTCCCCTGAGCTGGCCCGAACCATGATTTCAGAATGCAATCACCACCACAGCGATAGATGTGTACCCATGTTTGTAGCGGCACAGTTGGTAATAGCTGAAACTTGGAAACAGCCCGATCCGCCCATCAGCTGGAGACTGGATAAAGAAGATGTGGCTTTTAAAATTTTTATAAAGTGGAGCACTACTCAGCCTTAAAGAACGAGAGAGCAGAGCCATTTATAGCTGAGTGGACACACACTGAGGCAGTACTCTTAAGTGAAATAAATGGGACACACATGGGTGGCTACCGAATAGTTTCTCAGGTGTGAAAAACTCAAAGTGTAAGTGGGGATCACAATGTATAACTGATATTGTGAAATAGGAAGAAAAGGTCTAAAGCGGGAGGTGTAGGGAAAAGGAACGAAGGGAAAAGAAAAAAAAACAAGGGAAAAGGAAAAACATGGACACAGTCTTCGTAAAGAGGGGAGGGTGGAGGGGATGGAGGGCGGGCTGGGAGATGGGGAGAAACGAGAACCAAGATACAGCCTGTAAGGTCCAGATTCCCAATGATGAATGTAACTGTACCGTATACCTCAAAAGTACCAGTAAACTTAATGGGGGGGGGGACAAAGAATACAATCACCTTCAGGTGTTGGAGGGGTTAGAAGTCACTGTGGGATTCTGTCGGATCACTCGTGACCTTTGGGGGCAAAGGCATCCCATAGTCCGGGAGGAGCAGAGCAGGAGCGGGGGGGGGGGCCCTGCAGCAGTCCCCTAAGTTAGTTGCTGTAAAGGAGTCCTAGGTTCCTTCTGCACATTATCAAAAACAAAAGCGCCTTCACCGCTGTGTTAACAACCCTGAAGAGTGGGCTTGAGGTGTAACTCAGTAACTGAGAACACGCCTGGCATGTGGGAAAGCTCTCTGTTGGAGGCAGAGGAATAACCGAAATGCCACCGCCTGCGAAAGGACCCTCCGCTGTGCAGTGTACCCAGAGAAAATACGCAGGACACATTGGACACCATGGAAACCACAGCAGACACGCAGCTCCATCGCCGGCACCAAGATAAAAATCTTTATCCTGCAGCCTCAGGGTTAATATCTATCAGAAGGCTTATTTTTAAAAATGTGTTTTATCTCTCTTATGAAACGCATCGAAGAAGTAATTGGGCTAACATCGCTAGGCTTTTATCCTGGGAGGAAGACTTGCAGAAAACCATGGCAGCTAAGTAAACATTCTACGAACCGGGTTCTTTGTAAGATCTTGATAGAGGATGTCTCCTAAATATTTCATATCCTGATTCTATCCACTAAAAACCAAAACGACGGCGACGACGACGACCCCCTCCCCCCACCCCACTCCCCGCTAGCCCACTCCAGTCGAAGGAGCACGGGCAGTGCTGGGACATGGCATCTCCCCACCCAGGGCTCTCACAGAAGGAGCGGCATGGCTGGCCAAGCTCCAGGCCCAGACACGCGCAAGATCCACCTGGGAAATCAGGTCGAGGAACGAAGGAGAACGCCTCCCAGCACAGTGGGCTCGTCTAACGGCCACGGGTGTCCTCTCCCGGGCGCCCGACCGAACCGCTCTGCAATCAGGCAGTGGTGACGGCCGCGCAAAGGTGACGAGGAGTTAAAACTTCCGATGTGAAGGGAGGATTTTATGCCATGTCGATTATGTTTGCTCCCAAGGGTTATGACAGTATTACTTAAGTGAGCATTTTTGGTTTTCATCACAACGGCAAGAACAGAGCGGGCACTGGGGACCACTGTGACAGCCCTGCCACCTGCCCAGGTTGGGCGTCCTGCCGGGGAGACCTCTCCCGGCCCCTACTGCACGCAGGGGGCCTGGCTGTGCTGGGGAGACGGTGGTTCTGCAGGAAAGGACCCCCTTCCCCGTGCACGTGGACGTGCTTCCTCTCGTGTTTCTCGGGGTGGGGGCAAACCCCGCGGGTATCCGTGGCATTTTATTAAAACTGCTTTTAATTACATCTTCATAGTGGGAACCCACTCTCAAAGCTGATAACGAAAGGGTTTGGTGTTCGGTATGACGTGTGGGCGCTCATTAGTATTGCAGGTGGGCTGAGAGCCGCTGGAGGCGAGCCTGGACGTGCTTCCTCTCGTGTTTCTCGGGGTGGGGGCAAACCCCGCGGGTATCCGTGGCATTTTATTAAAACTGCTTTTAATTACATCTTCATAGTGGGAACCCACTCTCAAAGCTGATAACGAAAGGGTTTGGTGTTCGGTATGACGTGTGGGCGCTCATTAGTATTGCAGGTGGGCTGAGAGCCGCTGGAGGCGAGCCCCTGCGTTTCAGAGCGAACCTGGCGCTTGGCCTCTCCT